AATTTGCTTTAGGACTCAAACTCAAAAGACTACTGGCTCCAACCCCCACTTCTTGCATCTTAAATAGTAGTTCAAATCAGGCTTCAGATGCAGAGATGTAACTCCAACTGCCTGCAGCATATATTTGAAGGCTGAATTGAGGCCACAGCATTTATTCATAGACAGAAGTGCTGTTCAGACTATGATGAAGCCCAGCTGTTCACAGGGAAAGGTACACTGGCTCAGGGAAGAGAAAAACACATCCAAAGTGATTTCCCATGTTCCCTCTCCGCTGCTGTAAATGTGTGACCCACCTGATTTCCTAAACTCTGGAGTAATTCTCATGCACAACTCCAAAAATAGAAGAGGCAAAGGTCTTGACTGACCTAGAGGGTCTTCCCTTATGGCAGGGGAGGGCAATTCTTTTGGGCAGAGGGCCGCTTACTGAGTTTGGCAAGCCATCGAGGGCCGCATGACAGGCAGCCCAGGGCAAATAAATATTCATTTTCTAAATTTTTTAGGGGTCCCACGGGCCGGACAGAATGGCCTAGCGGGCTGCATCTGGCCCCCGGGCTGTATCTTGCCCCACCCCTGCCTTATGGTGTGTGCTGCTTCTACTTGGAACTGCAGTTTTGTAGATGTTATCCCCATCACATAGGAGGGTATAAAAACCCACTATACAAGGGACTCCCCAAGAGAGAGCCTCCTTCAACCTGATGATTCCAGCAGAGAGGGCTGGGAATATGCAATATGGTAGTCCCATAAAATCTTCCCACCCCTTTAGCTTTAAAACCCTTAATTTTAAGTTCTAGGATGTTCTGTTCCACAGAAGGAAATTATTCTTCAGATAAGCTGGTGAAAACTCAGTGAGGTCAAAGGAGCTACACTGCAAAACATCAACTGAGGATCTGGTTCATAGGCTAAGTGCAGACATTCACAGGAGTTAAGGGGAGATTAGGTCGGGTTAAAAATAGCCACCTGATCTAACTTCACCCCTGGTGCGGGCCTTACACTTAGACCTAGTGATTGGAAATCAATCTAAACCTATTACAGGACAGAAGTTCAGCGCACACAGACCAGTCTAAAAGTGTCAGAATCCAGTCTAAGATAGACCTGGGTCAATGTACACTCAAACTTAATTGATCTAGGTGACCAGTGGGTCTCTGTCCTTGGGCCTGTACTATTCAACATCTTCATTAATGATGATCTTCATTAATCTTCATTAATGATGTGGATATTGGTATCAGAAGAGGACGGGCCAAGTTCGCTGATGACACCAAACTCTGGGTTAAAGCTTCCACACCTGAGGACAGGAGGGTGATCCAGGCTGACCTCGACAGGCTCAGGAAATGGGCGGATGAGAACCTGATGGTGTTTAACACAGAAAAATGCAAGGTTCTCCACCTTGGGAAGAAAAACCTGCAGCATCCTTATAGGCTTGGCAGTGCTACGCTGGCTAGCACTACAGATGAAAGGGACTTGGGGGTCATGATTGACCACAAGATGAACATGAGCCTGCAATGTGATGCTAGTAAAGCGAGCAAAATGCTGGCTTCCATCCATAGATGCTTCTCAAGCAAATCCCAGGACGGCATTCTCCTGTTGTTCTCAGCCTTGGTGAGGCCACAGCTGGAGTACTGCATCCCATTTTGGGCTCCACAATTCAAAAGGATGTGGAGAAGCTTGAGAGAGTCCAGAGGAGAGCCACACACGTGACCAGAGGTCAGGAAAACCGAACTTATGAAGAGAGGTTGAGAGCCATGGGACTCTTCAGCCTGGAAAAGCGCAGGTTCAGGGGTGATCTGGTGGCCACCTGTCAGTTCATCAGGGGTGCTCACCAGGATCTGGGGGAACGTCTGTTCACCAGAGCACCCCATGGGATAACAAGGTTGAATGGTCACAAACTCCTCCAAGACCGTTTCAGCCTGGACGTAAGGAAGAACTTCTTTACAGTCTGAGCCCCAAGGTCTGGAATAGACTGCCGCTGAAGGTGGTTCAAGCATCTACTTTGAACGCCTTTAAGAGAAACCTGGATGTTTATCTTGCTGGGATCCTATGATCCCTGCTGACTTCCTCCCCTGGGGCAGGGGGCTGGACTCGATGATCTTCCAAGGTCCCTTCTAGCCCTAGTATATATGAATCTATGAATCTAGGTTAGACTGGTACACTGAACTTCTGTACAGTTACCTGCACAGCCATAACAGTCATAAAGGAAACAAATGCTAGCAAATGCCTTTAATAAAACCCTGCAGTATTCCACAGTGATCACCTCAAATACAGCAACGTTGCCATTGGAATATGTAGCACCTAAAAGAACAGTTTTGGCATGCTGCAGTGCTTCTTTTGCTACACATGTATTTAATGCAAAAATCGGTTTAAAATAGTGTGTCAGCACCCTTGAAATCAAGCAGAAGGGGTGATTAAGACATAGTCATTTTCTGCTATTGTTCTGGTGGATAGTGGTAATTGCTTCTCTATATAGGAAACTGGCTATACATCCATTGTCATCCATCATCTTGCCAGTGCTGTATATAGTGCAGTATAAATGGTAAACTTTCGATTTAACCTCATTCTCACAATTACAATGTCACGGCACTGATAATGATTTAAAGTATCTGCAGCTAAGCCAATGGAGAAAAGACAAATATGGTCGAATATATAAAGCTGCCCAGGAAATAATTACACATTAAAGACAGCTGGGATATATCAGGGTCTCAGTTTCCCATTTGTAAATTGTAATAAAATGCATCAGATTCTGCTTGTTTGAAAAGGGAAGGGAGGAGACATGAGCCTACATGATATCATCCAAACCTATGCTTTCATAACTCTGCAACTTGGAGCAGGTCCACTTGGGGGAAAGTGGAATGTACTTTGGCATCATCTCCCTTCAGATGTGTCAGCATTAACTAATGACAGCTCCTCTCAGTACACTATACCTTCCAGGGGAGCTAAGGAGCCCATGCGAAAATGGCTGGAGAATGCTATGTTTGGGCCTTTGTACACGCCACAAAATTGGCCTTTAAAGTGGATTAAATACCCTTTTGTGCCGCTTTAATGGTGTTGCTGTTTGCAAATTTGGTGACATATTGCGCGTTAAATGACTTTACGTGGTGGCCCGATGCTTTCCTCCGCAGCTGTGGTGCCCCCCAGGACTGCCTGGGCCAGGTGCCTGTGGGTGGGTGCCTCCTGGGGGACGCAGCCGCTGCCATGGAGGGAATCACCAGCCCCCGCCCCTCCCTCCCAGCTCAGGGACCACTGGGGCCACTGGAGAGGCATATAAGGATCGGGCCTGACCCTTGTGTATACACCACGAGCATTTACTTCACCCTAAATTGAAGTGGTATTTTTAAAAACCCACCACTTCAATGTAGGGCGAAGTAAACCCCCGTGGTGTGTACAAATGGCCTTTAACAGGAGGCATTTGGGATCTAAAATGGGACATTTGGGTCTTTGCACACATCGTCAGGCCATTCTGAGGCACATGGGACTTGCTCATGAATTGCAGAATACATGTAAATAAGGAGGACTTCCCCAGATAACTGTGGTGAAGGAAGCTCAGCTGTCCGGCACTTGTGGAGGCCACAGTAGGTCTGGTCTATCTAAGGTTCTCATATGGCCTCCATGAGTTAACTGTCAGAAGGTCTCCATCCTCGCTGCATTTACTTTCACCACACACCTATGGAGTATGATATTTCCTTGTCTAATTCCCATTGAAAAGACAGGGAACAGTCACAGCAGGTGCATCTACACAAGACGCTACAAGATGCTGTAGCGATGCGCTATGGTGACATAGTGTCGGCAGGCACAAATCGTGACAAACAGCAAAATAGTGTCTAAAAATAACCATGTGCCACTTTAGGAAGCAAATACGAAAGGAATGCGCAGTACCCCATGAGCAGTCAGGCACACGTGTAGACGTGCCCAGTGTGATTAAAAGACTTGCCCAAGGTCAGACAGGGATTCTGTATCTATCTTTAGATAGATCTCTGGATAGCAACCTGTTCACTGGGCCATCATTCCCAATGTATACAGCACCAATATACATTCGAAACCACGCATTGTCTGCTTCCTTATTCTTGTATGGACCTTCTTAAAGGAAATTAGCTGAACGTCCTTACGGTGGGAATAAAGAAAGGAAACAAATTTATTATTCCAGTGATACCCCTGACAAAGATATCGAGTAGCTTCATTAAACATTTTGCAGCCTCAAGCAATTTTACTAAATCCTGTACAATGAGCACACTGTGGTTTTCATTATGACAGTGCAAACATAGAGAGCTGGATTCAGAACTCACTTACACCAGTTTTACGTCTGTGTAATTCCATGTACTTCCGTGGAATTACTCCTGATTTACATGGCCACGAGAGCAAAATCACTCCTGTGCTACCCGTTTCTTTCCCTCTTCACTCTTGTTTTGCTATCTGAAATAATCTCCGCAGAGAAACTCATTTTCATAGCTACAATATACTCTCAGCAAAATAACTATACAGCTCTCCTCAAATACAAACAACAATATATCAAAGACTGAAATTATATTTATCAAACAAATGCTATTTATTTCTTCCGCCTTAATAAATCTGTTCTGAAAATGCAGCCAAAACTCTGTTCAAAGGAAAGCAATACAGTACAAAATACAGGATCTTGGAATACATTTCCTTTTAATAAAGAACCACATACTAAAGGAACTTTGAACACATGCTGTATTTTTGAGTGGAAGAATTCATAATGTGCTGGACATCCTGATAAAACCATAAAATATCCTCTGTCATCTCAGATCTTATCCAAAGCCCAATGTAGCAGTGCAAAGACTCCTACTGACTTCAGTGAGCTTTGGATGAAGCTCGGAGTAAGCCGAAATGCATCAAGATCCTTAACTTGTGTACAACTCATATTTACTGGAAAATGTAGCTAAGTAAACTCTAAAACATAAAAGGCATTTTCAGCGACAGCTATTCGGAAACTAGCACGCCCAGGCCATTGGAATGCAGTTTTAAAATGAGCACAAGTATTTCTTACTTACTTCATTGGTTTAAATAATGCTTGTCCATAATTTTGGAACGTCATGATCAGTTTTAGTTGAGTGCCTCCTGATTTCATGGCTGTGGGGAAAAAATAAAACAATTTAAAATGACCACATATGACTCTCCTTACATTCAACAGTCTGCCTATTGATCTATCTGGGTCTCTCTACACATTATATGAATGTGTTAATCATGGCATAAATGGCAAGGGCACCCAATTTAAGGTGCCATAAAATGGCAAACCAGCCATAAATGTGTTCCACAAAAAATGCAGAGTATTTTTATGGCTGGTTTGTCTTGCACCTTAAATTGAATGTGTAGTATGACAGGGGCTGCCTCAGAACTGGTGCCAATAATCAGTCCAGAACAGTCCTAGATCACAGTGGACCGTGGGCACCCTGCTTTCAATTTGCTGGTGTAGGAGGAACCCAGGATCCTGATTCCAGGTTTCCCCACGCACTAACAAGTAGAAAGGGCACATCTGGGATCCAGTCACTGATTCCAAAGTCACACTTCCTGCCACAACATGGTGGCATGGCAGGGATCAGAGCCCATGGTACCTTTAAATGAATGTGTCTTAGGGGGCCTCTGCGTAGGCATTTATATTGCTATCATCACTGTGGCATCAGATCATCAACATGCACATATCCAGGGCAATTCTAAGCATGGACAAAGAATGATTTAGTAAGTGAGTAGGGGTAATGCACTGTAGTGTAGGCACTTAAAGTGGCTAAACAACATCTGCATCTTGCACTGACATTTTTACCATTGGCTCAGTACTACAAGCACAGAAACACCACTGGCTTCAATGGGAGTGCTATACGTAGAGTGTTTGCAGAAACAAATTCTTCACTTGTCCTACCACCTATTTTCTTTGGACTTGCTACTATGAAAAGTGCCCATACTGGAGAAGGAGAATAAGGTCTGTCTTAAGAGGGCAGCAGAACCCAAGCTGCACAAACAGATAAGCAGCATCCAGCCCTTAATTAAAAGGCATGAACAGATCACAAATTCTAGTCTATGCTATGATTAGTTTAAGTATCTGTTGCTGAACAATAAGTACAGGTATATGTCTCTCATCTTCTTTATGGATATCATCTGTGAAGTCAATAGGTAGGTACCCACTTATTTCAATGGGATTTGGATTAGGCCCTACATTAATGGGCATGTACGTGAAAGAGAGGTGACCTCTGGAAAGTTTTAGCAAGCACAAGGTAGTGACTGCAATTCAAAAATGTTGAACACCGAGGTCCATTTAGCTTGATTCTAACATACACTTAATTCCCAGTTCCAGTGAATTAAGAATTTAAGGCTGACATTAGTTCCAGTGAATTAAGAATTTAAGGTTGACATTTATTTCTAGCAGTCTGTACCATTTGGGCAATATCATGCTAACAGTTGGACAATAGTATTTCTAAACTTAGAATGATCATTTTTTGTCGGAATGAGAACAAATGTAACTTAAAATATGCATTATACATGAATACAAGAGTTTCCAAAGAGTACATCTCCTTTGATGATACTGTTACTTAAGAAAGGTAAATACATGCTCCAGCAAACCATCTGCCCTTCCCCCCAGCCAGGAACCCTCCAAAAAACTGAAATGACCCAGACCCTGACTTTTAATTCATTTCCACATTCTGAAATGCTGCTCATGTCAGTCTTCACAGTATGTGCAATTCAGCCCTTTTAAATACTTCCTCTGAGTGATCAGATAATCCCTTTCTTTAGAATTTGGACAAAACCGGTATAACTTTAAGAACTACATGCAATGTCACATTATCTTATTATACGAATTTTGTCTTAAAATTGGACTCATTCAACCCATGTAACTTGTACATTTTCCCCCCTTCCCAATCCCATTAGCTGCACATCCTTTTAATTACTCCAGTCTGTGCCTTATTACTGATAGGTCACCAGCTCTCTTTCAGTGCTTGTAATCCACATTTTTGTAACAAAATGCTATGCAAATCTGGTCAGCTTAATTACTTTTCCTCTAGAACAAAATCCCTCCTGCATTGCCGGTTTGTTGACCCCTACCTTTTCTAGCATTACCCACCTATCCCAAAGGAACAAATAAACAATTAGAAATTAAAGGGCATTAAATAACTCTCACTGTACAGGTATAGCAGAAACAGATGGTTTTCACATATTAAATTTACTCTTGTGATGAGCAAGCCATGTCTTCAGGTGCCCCAGAAGGGAAGGAGGTATAGGTACAAGTATAGGTTCAGCCCTGAGCACAAATCAGAGCAGCCTCAAGGCTTCTCTCACATATGCTGTCAGTACACGTAAGCCAAGGGATTCTCCATGAAAGCCCAGAGCATCACTCCGAGTTAGAGAACAGAACTGCCTCCATTTGGTTAGATCCTCAGCTTTTATAACCCTGCCTTGCTCCACTGAAATCAGTGGTTAGAGTCCATGCAACTTCATTGATGTCAACTTGGGGCCAACTCCTGCAGTTCTGCTCCCCCTTACAGACAATAAGAATCAGTGTTTAAAAAGTGATGTCTAATCACCTCTGTCCATGTCAAGCTGATTTCTCACACTATAACTGAACTCTCCAATCATAAAAATCAGAATTCTTAACTGATCCGAGCGGGTTGATATAGACCCATTAGAGCTGTGGGGTGGGTAGGGATTTCCAATTCATTTCAGGGAGGATTATGTTTCCATTGGGACAAGCCAACTTTTGATACATGACTGGGAAATGGAGAGTCTTAAAAAAACCAACCCAAAAGAGGCAGAGATAGAAGAAAAAGGGGAGGTTCAATTCAGGTTCTAAACACAGTGTTCGGGACACTCTAAGGTTACCAGGTGGTTCAGCCATGCAGAGTAGGCCAATGGACACTTTGTTGGCTAACAACCAAAGATTTGGCAACACTAATGGGGAAACCTTTATGAAAGAGTCATGAAATATGGTTCTGATTGGTTAGACACAAAGGGATTGATGTCCCAACAGAAGGCACTAGCTCAGCTAGTCTTTGCATTAGAGAAAGTCAGGTGAGAATACAAAAGATCTTCATGGCCTATTGGTACCATCCTATTGGTTAGAGCCTAACCTGGTTGCAACCTTGACTGTCCATTGATGGAGTTCTGTGCCAGTGCTGGTACTAAAAGTGAATTTTATATTTACAATGGTCAGAAGAGCATCAGGCAATTTTGCAGGGGTGGTTGTACATGAGAAGTGGTTCTCGAAGGATGCAGTGAATGCAATCTTCACTTGTTTCTGGAAGACTGCACCTTCCCAGGAAACATTCTGCCCATGGTTCTGTGCAAATTCACACTACCGATCAGTATGCTCCCCAACATTTTTATCCCAACACTGATCTGCACAGATCTTACCAATGTATACAACACTAAATACCATTATTATAACTAATGCAGTGCAATTGTCATGCAGTACATATGGATGACTAGAAGGGATGCTCTGAACCCAGCTGCTTACAGTCCAAGGCTCTCATCCTCCAGATAGTCACACATGAGCTTCATGCCATGATTTGTCCCATCAAACTCAATGACACTACTCATAAGTTTTTAAAGTAAGCGTGTTCATGCATGTTTGCAGGATTGGGGTCCAAAAAGACTTATGCCTGCGGTGTGGAAATATCCAGACTTGCATGTACGGATGTAATTTAAAACAGTTGCTCCTAACCTCATGGAGACTTTCTGCCCAAATGTCAGGGTTGGATATTTTCCTCTTCTCTAAAGATTAAACTCACAGGTTGGCTTTTTTTACATTTTCTTAAATATATTTCTTAAGGATAAGAGAAGAAAATTCCACTTCCCATGTATGGTGCAGTTCAGACATGTCCCTCTTTATATTATGCCTAAGAATAAGAGTCCAATTATGTTCCAAAGCCTTGTTTGCTTGTTTGGAGATGCCCTTGAGACTGTAGCTACTATCCAAATAAAAATTTCATAAGGATTTATAATACACCGGATTAGAACGTACAGTATTCAGAGAAGCCATATGATGACACTAAGCCATTACAGCTTGTCATGTCTCTGATCAGAACACTAAGACGTTTCTAAGAAGGCCTTAAAATGTTGGGCTGTTCTGACTCCAAGGGTGTTCTCCCATCTTAATCCAAATCCACATTTTAAAGAGTCCCCGAATGAACATTTATGTTACAGACCATGAACAGCTCTGAAAACGTCCTCCAAACTCACTGATGCCACAGAGTAACTCTTCCGTCCATTCTTGTGCAATGACTAGACACATTTATATAGTGATAAAAATACATTCCAGTACAAATAGTATCAAAATTTCTAAAGAAAGAAGTTGAATGCTAAAGCTTAATATTCCAGTGTTAATCTTTCCTGTCAACCAGCATATTGCATGAGTGCTATGGCCTGATCCAAAGTGCTCCAAACTTCAGTAGGCTTTAGAACAAGTCTTCAGTGAAGTCTGTCCTACTCATCATGTTGAGAGTTAGGGACTTGTCTAAAGAGCATTAATGCCCCCGAGACTTTTTTTACTGACTTTGATGGGTTCTGCATCCAAGCTGTAATGACCTCAGCCACAGATATCTGTGGTTCTTCTCCCGTGTGCTCCCATTCCTCAAATTTCCTCTGCCTATTCTTTCCTGAAAACTAAGGAAATCCACATGTTCCTCAAGTCCTGTACCTCTCCCGTGTAAAGACTTTCATATAGCAAACGTATGAGACAGGTGCCACCATCCTCACTGAGTGAGATGTTTTTTCCTAACTTCCGTTAAAAGATCTGGTTTTGACCCATTCGAGACAAGATACTGGATGGAACAAAACACTGCTATGATTTGGCTTTGCTTTCTTCTGCCTTGCTGTACCCCAACTCTCGTCTTACCAGCCCATTCGGATTCTACACTCTTCAGGACCAGACAGTTGTATTTGTAACGTCCACACTTTGAGTGTTGTTTTAAGCCATAATAGTCACCATCATTAAAAATGACAGAGGCATTACACAAACACTAAATATCAGCCTAATCCCCCTTGTTCTTTTCCAACACCACCAGGAAGAGATAAAGGGCTACTCTGTAGCACTGTCTGAAATTCCTTTCTTTTGTCAGGATTCAGCACACAGTATTAAATGTACT